CCCCCCCTCCATCCGCCTCCGAGTCGTTCGCGTAAGCGTTCACGCTCCCGGCCAGCTTCTGCTGCCGGTTCTGTCAGGCAGATACCGCGTGATGCTAGGGCTGCTGGTCGTGCTGCGTTGTCTCGAGCTCCTATTTTGGAGTTCGAGTCTACAAGTAACTTCCACTGTCCTGCGTCAACTCCTACCTTGCAGCAGGTTCCAGGGTCGCTTGATCCTGCTCCTGCTGTCTCTCAGGGACTATCGCTTGGCCCGATAGTTCCTTCGGGTAGGTCACGTTCTCTCTCACCTCCTCGCACCCCTCCTCGGAGGTGGATTCGGCGGGTGCCTCTCCTAGTGATGAGAGGGACGTTCTTCGGGGCTCTCCCGGTTGCTCCAATTTTACGGAGACTCGGGATGAGGATAGAGTCGGCGAGGTTTCTGACTCTGATTTGGAGTCGTTGGATTCGTCTGGGTTGGACTCGGAAGGCCCTTCCGATGTTTCCTAATCCCGGCCCCGAGATGCTGATCCGGTGCCTCCAGAGGTTTCGACTTTGTTTCGCACTTTACGTGCAGAAGTTATGAAGCTTCTGGGGGACGGGGTTTGCCCACGCCCTTCCTCGGATTTGGCCGTACCGGAGCGCACTTCGCTCCTTCAGAGCATGTTACCTCCCCTAGCATCTGCCTCCTCGGCCTCTAGGTCTCTTGCGGAGGGAGGAGGTGTTGCTTCGTCCCTCGCTCAGGTCAACGCTTTATTAAAGCAGAAGTTGAGCAAGGCTCGCAAGCCTTTTCCCTCTCGGCTTTACAGGTCGTGGTTGCTGATATCGCAGATTTAGCTGCCGATACGTACCGCATCCACGACCCAGTCTTGGGCCCTAATTCCGTTTCCCTTGAGAGGGATCTGGATAAGTGGCCGGGACGCTGTGTTGACCAGGTTGTGATGGGGCCTAGGGAGCACTCTATGTTGGAGCGACTCCTTAGGCTGGCTCTCCATGTTCTGTCCTACGCAGACTGGTTTACTTCTGCGTTGCTGGCTGCGAGCTGCAAGTCGGTGGAGCAGCTCCCCAGCAAGGTTGGACTGATGGAGCGCCTCAGCCAGGCAATTTGCAGGGCACATCTTGATGCGATGGCCTTACTGTCGGCTGCCATGTCACACCTTGTTGTTGCCTGCCGGTTGTCGGTCCTTTCTGGACTGCCAGTCGGCGATTCCTATCGGGCTACCCTTTTGGATGTTCCCTTGACTGGCGAGGATTTGTTTGGCGGGAACCTTTCCTCAGTGCAATCTGAGATGAGGTTGGACCCGTTTGCGTCTGAGGATGCACGCCACAATTCTGCAGGCAAGGGCGCTAGCAGGAAGAGGCTTGCTTTTGGCTCCTCCAGGCGTAGGAGGAAGAA